AATGAAATGCACTCAAGGATAGTTTGAAAAAGGAATCAATTAAAAAACAAAATATTGTTTAGAAAGTTACATTACTCCAGTTTGAAAGCACAACACATGCTTTTAGTAAACAATACATAAATAGGTGACTTTTAATAAAAATTTCCTTTGAAATGTACTACAATCAACATCATCATCAAAAATAAATTCCCCTTTGTCACAGCTTTTATGGAAATCCAAATTTACTGATTTACTGATATAATTTCCCATTTTTATCCAAGCTTTAAAAAAGACACAGCAATTTTCTTTCTATTAGTAATACTAGAAAATAAAAAAAACATGGTACAATTACTCACCTACACATTATACTTGTGTCCGAGAGGCGTTTTTTAAGGAAACTGGTGGCAATGGGGGAAGCGTTTGCTGTGTTTTTAAACAGAAGGGGGAATTCCCACATAGTGAAAGGCCCTGATATTTTTTTAGCTCAAAAGTGGGACCTGGTATGCATCCAGGAACTTGAGACTGTTTAGCTAAGTGTTACCAGACAACAGATATATTTAATAGTAACATAGCATATTTTGACTGTTTACAATGCCATAAGTATGTTGTAAATAGGAGCGAAGGATTACTGCATCAAATTATTTATAGCAACTTCATAAATCAGCAGTTTAATGCCTGATATTGAGTTAGAGGACTATAATACGCCATCAGTCTACATGCATTTGCCTCGAAATTGTTCCATAAATAAAGCTCGACCAAGAAGAAAGTTCATAAAACGGGTATAATTGCATTTTGGTTATCTTTCAAAAGTTTTTAAACCATAAAAAGTCATCACAGTTGCATGCACAAAAAGTGCACTGATAAAAAAAACTTAAATTTCTTAAATGCAAAAATGCATGCAGCTTTTGCAAAAATCAACAGAAAGCACACTTAGAAATGCACTCATGTTGTTTAAGTTGTGTCTGCATAGTAACCTTTTGTTACCTCTGACATTAAGCATCTCACAACGCCCTGGATAGTTCAGTTTTGTCTTGCTTTTGCATGTGCGACTGTTCACACACAGTCGAAAATATCATTATGATCATGTATTTGATGTTTTGTTCTGAATTTAACAATGTTATTGCTATTGCAGACATCATCGATGGTGACTGGGATGTTGGTCTTGCAGGGGATTTCCTAGCCCCACAAGCTTTTTTTCTTCTTTCCTCTTTTAACTAAAGATGGCCTGACAACAGCTGCGCTCACACAAAGACACGTCTGCACACACACACAAACAGACGCGTGTATGCACACATACACATAGCTGCAGACAAGAGTATAATGAATTGATGGTTTGTCTGCCACATATGTGTGTGATCTAAATGTGTTTAATGATACATTTAAGTGGTTACCTATCAAAATAAATAATACAAAAAATACACTTGTAACAAGATTTATTTTAAATAACGTAGGTAAACCTGTACAGCTGCATGTACAGTAAACAGTGTCCAAATGAGTGTGCAATTGAAATATTATATATATATATCTGTTCACACACAGTCGAAAATATCATTATGATCATGTATTTGATGTTTTGTTCTGAATTTAACAATGTTATTGCTATTGCAGACATCATCGATGGTGACTGGGATGTTGGTCTTGCAGGGGATTTCCTAGCCCCACAAGCTTTTTTTCTTCTTTCCTCTTTTAACTAAAGATGGCCTGACAACAGCTGCGCTCACACAAAGACACGTCTGCACACACACACAAACAGACGCGTGTATGCACACATACACATAGCTGCAGACAAGAGTATAATGAATTGATGGTTTGAAGGCTCGTTTTTGACATAGGAAGGCTGTTGCATGGAAAAAGACCCATCAATGTTTCTACTCACACCCTGAAATCAGCAGATAACAATACTGTTGCTGTCTGCTATCTGGGAAACCTCTCTTGAAACTGGTGCAAAGCCCAAGAGAACAGAAAATGTGCTGAAATACAATTTTCAAAAAAAAAAAAAAGAACTCTTCAAAATGGCACATGATATGTAATTAAGGTGTGATGTGCATCAAGAAATCCAATAAAAGCAATGTATTCAGGGCAGACACTTATGTATGTATCAAGTCCTATGTTTTTCCTCTCCATTTTTAGAACGTCATTATGCTTTTTTTAATCAACGTCATAATGCATGATTTATCTTTTGAAAAGTAAATGAAATCTACCGAACATCAAATATCACATTTACCATCTGCAGTTTATAACCAGATATTTCCTATTCAGAACAGAGTTGCATAGATTACAACAGGAGGGAATTTCCTTATGTGGTGCATGCGTCTGTAATGTAAATAAAGTTAATGACTGATCTGGGTGAATCAGCTATTTAGACCACTAATGAAAATAAGGACGTGAGAAACATCCTCTGCTGAAATAAATACTGGATGTTTTAGGCCAGTGGTTTTCAATTTTTTGTGACTGAAAAATGGATCAAAGGGTAACGAACATCAGTTGAAAATGCAAATAATTAAATGCAACTAGTTATATAATAATCATGCACAAAATAAATATGCTTAACTTTTAAAAAGGAGAAAATGTTTGTCCTGTATCTTCTGTTGTCAACAGAAAATTAATTTGTCACCTGTAATAAAAAAAAGTACACAGAATAAAAAAATATATGACCCATTCTACATAAAAATATGATTTTTCTATAAGTGAGCATAAACAACAATTTGTGAATTATTGGCTGCTGAGATCATGAAAACATCATTAAATGCCTGTTCACATAATAATTAACAATAACTATGATAGTGTCCACAATGTTCTGTTTATTATAAGCACATGCTGCAGTTTTGTCGCCTGTTGCTTTAAATGCTCAAGAAAGCAGGATTGATTCTGATTGGCTGTCAATGTTTTTAGCATTCATCAGCTGGAAGAAAAATCATTCTGAAAGTGAGCAATATCTAGTGATATCTTTCATTCTGTGCTGTTATCATTATAGTTGTGGTGTAGACTCAAGTCTATTCTTTTAAATTTAGAATTTTTTTTAAAACTATATCTTTCTCGCTAAAATTATCATCCATGGATTGAATGGGCTTTAAAAAAAAAATTTGTCAGTTTTCCTATTTAGCCTACAGTATGTCATAATATTAATTGCGCATAATATCAATAAGCCTATGCAAGTCATAAAAATACTAAAGGTGCGGTCGTAAGGTCTATTGTTTATTGTCAACAGTGTAATGACCAACTTAAACCTGTTGCAAAATCTGCGTGGCAAAATATTCATGTGGATTCCTACTGAAAGCTTGCGTACGTGACCACACTTGAAGTCATTCGTTTAATTTGTTTACTTTTGTGTGAAAAAAGCCAAAGTACGCACATCCAAAGCATCTTGGCCAGGTGCAAGATTTTGAAAAATTTCAGTCTTTGACCGAAACGTTGCCACTTTTAACTTTTTCTAAATAAAGGGAGAATAACAAGTGTGCAGATCTTTTGTATGGTCAACAATGTTGGTACTGTGTTCAGAAGCATATCACCACATTCTGTACTAAATTTAAAGCAACTTTTGGTATTAAAATACAACAACAATGGTGTCCATCTAACAACACAAACTCAAACACGATCACGTCTTTTATTTCTGGGGTGATCAATTTAAACAGGATGTTGGGTAACAAATAAAGCACTAGTAGTACGGTAACACCATAAAAAGTGCTTTTAACTGTAAAAAAAATGTTTCGCGCACGATTTCAGAAAATGGGACAAGGTGTGGCTTCTGCATAGGTCATTAGCTTTGGCATAGGCGTGGCAGCAGCAGCAGAGGGCACAAAGACTGTATGTCACTAGCAACTCACAAACAATGAATGGGAACACAGTGTACTGGTTACTTGGCATGAATATCCTGTTTGACACATCCCGGACAACAGACAATGTTCTAGTCCTCACCTCCACAGAGAATCAAAAGGGTTTTACGATAGTCTCCTGATGTGTCACCCTGAGAAAATAATATGATTTGGTCAGACAAAACATTTTGAAATAAAGCATCAAAAAACACACCCAATAATTTGGGAGTGTACATCATAATCATATCAGCGGAAGTTTTGTGTTGCATAATGATATTAAGCCATTATGAAATTCACTGCATTACCTAATTACAGAGCATTTCGTATAAACTTGTACGAGAAGTGAGATCAACATATCACTTTCCTTCCTTCATAGTCTAAACTGCATTTCCATGGAAATAATGTTTGCAAATGCAAATGAAAATGTTATGAAACCATGCAATTCTACAAAACAATAAATCTAATCAGGAAATCTTTTGACACACACCTTAAAAACACACAGAGACTGCAAGCATCTAAAAATAAATCATGCTGTTATTTTTGATTTTTTATATATGATTTGAATTTAAATGAAGCATTAGTTTGTTTCGCATACTGGCCCAACTAATAGCATAATAAGCCCCAAAAACAAGACATGAAATGTATAATTTAGTGTTGTTATTGATCTCTAAAGGGAGTTTTGACTACAGAGCCAGTATAGACCTGTTATTGAACACTTCCTGTCTCCATTCTCTCCACCAATCAGATTCAGCACACTGAGAGGAAGTCAAGCATGCAGGGGGAATTCCTAAACAGCTGAGTCGAGCGAGTACACTGCAGGAACCTGTCAAACACTCTGTTCCCCTCGACTTAACCAAAAGAGGATGTGCAACGCCTACAGTAAGACAAAACACAATATCTACACAACTCTCTTTTAAATTCACTAACGTCCGATCGCACCAGTAACACATGCACAAATGCATGCAGTATGTATGAGAAGGAGCACACAACTTACAACGAGCGTCTCTACCTGGATGAATTCATGCAAAGAGGCATCATGGGTCTCCTTGAACTCTTTGCGGATGTTGAAGAGGTCAATCTCGGAGCGGGACACCATGATACGGATGAGAGCCCTGTCGTCTGTTCCCAGGCCCTGCAGGGAAAGTCACAGTGCTTAGGAAACTCTGGCCTGACCGCTGATCTGTGCGATGCTTATGAAGCAAAGCATCAGCAATAGTGCAGATGCTCATCACAGGGCCTGTGACTCATAATCAAGCCTGAGAACCATCGAAGAGAACCACAAAAACTAAGACCATAAAACATGTTTCATTCTATAATGAGCGGCTTACTCAGTAAAGCATGTTTTTAATCAGTGTCTGTAATTCATCACTCAGAGTAAAGGTTTTACTCAGAGACTTAATTGAGTCCTCAGTTCTGTTTTATTTCAGCATCAGCTCAGATTTTTCCCTTATGAAATAGTAAGAGTGGGAGTAGTAAGAGCTAAAAAATGGTATTATTGAAATGTCTTCTAAACTCCAGACTACTGGAGTGTGATTACTGTTGTGTGAGAACAAGTATCTCCATTTGCTCCCACTTTCACTGGGAACATTGAAACACTTTCGATATTAAAGAAACCCGAGTTATGATTTTTTTTCCTGTTTTATAGTCACTTTGAGTTGACTGATGTCATGTTCTTGGCCTACATCAGCTGTTTGAGTTTGTTCCTCCTTCTCAGAGACAGATGTTGAGGGAAGTGTATTACATAACAATGCACTTTTACCTTCATGGCTTTGTACAATCGGTCAGCAAAGTAAGATGGCTGATTCTTCACACTCCGCACTGGAAAATATACACGTTACTGCTATTTTTTAGATGACTGGAGTCATATGATTTT